ACTTTTTTCCCCCTCCACGCTCGGAGGGGGCATTCCGGATGTAGCACCCTGTATCCCGCCTTTATTCCCCGGATGTGTTAACCGTGAATCGCGAGCAGAATGCTAATTACTCGAACAAGGGTTGAAAATGGCCACGATTATCGTTGCTTGATCGGTCATTCGAGACGCAAACTCTCGTTCCAACGACGTAAGCGTGGCACTTTAAACAAAAGCTCTCGCATTATCGTCCTGCCTCCTCGCTTTCTTTCCGCTAATTGAAACTTCTCTAATTGTCAACGAGTTCCTGGTATCATCCGCGTTTTCTGATCTCCTCCAAGTCTTTCCCACCGATCGAGCGCGATTTTCTGTCGGAAAATTCGCTAGATGGAATTTTTTTCGACTTGCACGAGACTTGGACAAAGTTTAACTTCATACTCCGACCAAGGGTCAAGTTAAATACGGTCTTTTCCGCGATGGGGTAGAGCGAGAGAGAGGAAAAAATACGGGAATAATTTAATTTTGACGTACCTCGTTCGCTGATGGAACCGAGAACAAGTTTCCGGTTTTAGCCCCCTTTCGCGCAACTTCCCTCTGGCCGTAAGTTTTCATTTCCGTAACGTTGCGTGAATCGTCGGTGTTTTTTGAAGTTTCGCGGGGATGGAAATTTATTTGCCAACTTCTTATGCCTGAACGGCAAAGCAGTTCGTATTCTGCCGCGACGCGAAGAAACGCGTTAATTTTTCCCAACGCAAAGTGAAGCGAGTAATCATCAAAGATACACTCCGATGTCTCCGGGCGGAAAATCGGGGAAAGGGGAAATTTAGTTTCCGGTATGTTCACTTGAGTGACGATACCGTCCCTAAATTACGGTGAAATTATTTTATGATTACGATAGTATCGAATTTTTCTTTTGTATTAAAAATTCCGATATTATTTTCTGGCCAACCTATCGTATATTTTATTTTATTTTATTTTATTTTATTTTATTTTATTACATGATATTGTAATATATTCAAAGAGTAGGTAATACGCGTGGTTCAGGGATGAAAGTTGAGTGGGGAACAAGGGGTGCAGATTTCGAATTATCCTTTATACAGGAATATTATTTTCTGGTCAAGCTATCGTATATTTTATTTTATTTTATGTCATTATGTACTATTGTGCTATATGCAAAGTGTAGATAATATGCGTGATTCAGAAATGGAAGTTAAGTGAAGAACAAGGGGTGCAGGTTTTGAATTATCCTTTATACATTAATATTATTTTCTGGTCAAGCTATCGTATATTTTATTTTATTTTATGTCATTATGTACTATTGTGCTATATGCAAAGTGTAGATAATATGCGTGATTCAGAAATGGAAGTTAAGTGAAGAACAAGGGGTGCAGGTTTTGAATTATCCTTTATACATTAATATTATTTTCTGGTCAAGCTATCGTATATTTTATTTTATCTTATTTTATTTTATTTTATTTTATTTTATTTTATTTTATTTTATTTTATTTTATGTCATTATGTACTATTGTGATATATACAAAGAGCAGGTAATTCGCGTGGTTCAGGAATGGAAGTTGAGTGGGGAACAAGGGGTACAGGTTTCGAGTTATCCTTTATACAGGAATATTATTTTCTGAATTATATTTATATATTCTCTTAGATTGTCCAATAAATATCATCGAATTTTTATTTTATATTAAAAATGCCGATATTATTTTCTGGCCAATCTATCGTATATTTTATTTTATTTTATTTTATGTAATTATGTGCTATTGTAATATATAAGAAGTGTAGGTTATAAATGGAGTTCAGGAAGGGAAGTTGATTCGAGTTATGCTTTATACTGTAATATTATTTTCTAATTTATATTTACATATTTTCTCAGGTTGTCCAATAAATATTATCGAATTTTTATTTCATATTAAAAATACGGATATTACTTTCTGGCCAATTTATCGTTCACTTTATTCTCTTTCATTCTTATATAATTATGTAATATTGTAATATATACAAGGGGTAGATTAAAGATGGAGTCGAGGAACGGAAGTTGAATAGGGGACAAGTGGTGCAGGTTTCGAGTTAAAAGCGAACCTCTGCTTACCTCATGGTCTATGCGATAATTTTCCGGTTAAGACGTCATCGGTTAAAACGCCTGTACTTACAGCGGGACGTAATATTCGCGCAACGGTTTATTTGCATAATCAAAAAAGAAGACGGCGCAGGGAAAGCCTTCAAAAGGCGTTTCTAAATAGGAAACGCAATCTCCCGTGGGTCGCCTCGAATGCTACGTTATTAACGTGCCATCTTGCCGCTAGCTATACCGCATTCTTAAGATTGAATTAAAAAAGAACAAAAATTTTCGACAACTTCCTCGTATTCGGACTTCGAATTTCCATTTACGTTTCAGAATCGACCGCTGAACGCGATTTAATTAAATCGCGTTTCGGTGAATCTCAATGAAATTGGAAATTGTCCTCGGTTTATTAGAAGGCTTCCGCAAGGAGATCATATTCGCGCTGTGCGCTGTTCAAACGGGAATATTTTGCATGGTAATAAAAAATACGTCTCTGGTACTCTAGAAATCCCGAATATAGAGAGAAATGGAGAGAGATCTCTGATATCCTTTTTCTTTATAAAGTGCTCAATGGTCTTATAAATTCTTCCGATATATTAGAAAAATTCTCAATCGATGTTCCAACTTTTCATTTAAAACGATTCAACTTTCTTCGTGTACAACAAGATAAAACCGATTTTGCATACCACTCGGGTGTTAATAGAATGATTATTAATTTTAACAACATTTATCCTACCCTAGATCTATTCAGCCAATCTTTTCACTCTTTAAAACAGCTACTGCATCGCACCTCTCTGTAAACAAATTTTGTTTCTTTATACCTATACGTATCTCGTCTGTTTGTACATTTGTATATTTTTATTTTTTCTTTTTCTTTTGTGACTATTAATTTTATACCTCGCTGTAATAATTTTCTTGCAATTTTTCTAATAGGTTAATCACGTATAAATAAATAAATAAATATCCATAAATTTGAACCGATTCTTTAAAAATAAATATACGCGAGTAATTTACGTATCGCATAATTCACGAGAGAATACGAACTATAGACGTGAAAAGATTGGTCCGAAATTCCCCCGAAAATGCTGAATTTTTATTTTTCCGTCACCCTGTATAATTTAATCGTACCAAATTTCGACAGAAATCGATAAGAGTTCCTCATGCGCGATAACGAGTCATTAAAACCACAATTCGATTGACGCGCCGAGAAAACGAATAGAATTTTTAGGAACACTCGCCAGCTTCGAAATATAATTGATCGATTATCGATTATTTAACCTTCGTTATTAATTACACCTTCGTTGAACCGATACTCGCGCCATTCTTCCGCTTCTTTTGCTCGCGTCTGAACAAAGCTTCATCCGTCTCTCATCCGCGAACCTCTTTAATCTCCACCTCGCAATCAGCTTTATTTATTTAATCCAGCTCTCGATAGATTCGATACATCTGATTACCGCGAGATTATCGCGTGTTCCCGTTACGATGGAATTCAGTTTCCACCTTCATGAGAGGTGGAACTCAACCTGCCCGATAAGAGGCATTTTTCGATTAGCAGGCAGCGCGAAAAGTTCGGAGCGGAGATCCACTCGATCGTTCCGTTTTGTCCACCCTCTATCAATCATGCCGGCGAACTTAGGCGTGTTGGAAACGGAGAAAGATGGAAACTAAACATTTACCTTCGCAAACGCGGTTCCGACTTTTCCAACGTCTAAACGCGAGATTCACGAACCCTGATACGCTATGCCGAGACGCGTATGTTGCTCGTCGAGGTCCTCGCTCGTCACTCGAGCCTGGACGTCGCGACGCCGCGCCTCGTCCCGGATATCGACGGGAATTTTTAATCACGGTGGCAAAATGAAAGGAAAACACGGTAATTCGGTGTAGCGAATTTGAATAGAGCGCGATCTGAGCGAAAAATCGCATTTCTCGGAAATACAAAAATAAAAGGGGGGGAAACCGGGTTGAAAGCTTTCAATGGATGATCGGAATAAATATTTGTTCAAATCGACGGAACGTAGAAGGTAATATCTATTAAATATTTCTTCGCTTCCTTTTTTCTTTCTTTCGAAATTCGCGCGGCGATGTGTTTCCCTGCGCTTTTTTTTTTTATAAATCGCGAGCAACAATGTCGCGTCACGGGAAAAACCGCCTGTCGGCTAGCTGGCAAAAAGGTCTGTTCCATTTTTTCCTCCGAAAACACATCGCATAGCCCCAAATTATTGGAGCGAGGAGAAAACTAACTGACCGAACGCATATTGAACGTTACCAAACGTCAGCTCCAAAACGGAATTTATGTCTCTACAGAATGACAAATAATTCACGGCCGGTGCACCGTCTCTCCGTGAAAAACTGCACTCGTATTTAGACCATAATATAGGGTTTAATGCGAAGGATGGATATATCTGTTTCTGAAACGAAGCATTGTGATCGAAAATCGGCCCATTTTCATTCCAACGCAACGGTCTTGTAACTGTCTCCTACCTACACTTATCACGAAAACGCTAATTTCTTTCATAACCATAAAAAAAATTAAAAAATTTAAAAATTTAAAAAAGATTTCAATCTCTTGCTGTCTTCCAAATATCAAAGAAACAGCCTTTCCTCGCGAGAGTCCAGGGACCAGGTACCATTAATCCAAAATTAATATACCCCTAATTGATATACGAAAATCTGGAAAATTTATTTTCCGACCTGACACATGATCGAGCGATCGTTAAAAAGAAACAGGCAGCGTCATCGATCCGTGAATCACCCGTTAACATCATTTCCAAAGATACCATCCGGTTAGCCATCACTCTCCTATCAAATCTATCTTTCGCGTCAAAACAGTTAGAGAACCACCGATTCGAAAGGAACCATCGGACAGAGTCTCCCGAGAAACGAAAAAGAAAGAATAGTTGAAAGTTTCAAACGATCGCATTCGCGTAGAAACGCGCGCTCTGGTACTCACCTCAGCCGATGGGCCGAGCCGGGAACTTCCGGGACGTGAACTCGGGAAATTCGTGGAAATTCACCAGTAAGAAAACGAAGCACGCTGGACGAGAACGGTATCAGCCGCGTAAACCGGGATAAATCTCGATGCAAGATAGACACACGAAACGAAGGCGGGAGCTTCTCACGATCGAACCGCACACATACGGCACGAGGCGCGCGAAGCGACTGAGCCTCTTTCGAGCGGCGGAGTCGCTGCAGACCAGCCGACCTCTGCCGAATCGGACGAAGGGTATCGTTCGTGCGAGATCGTAAGGATTCAGCGCCGTCCACGTTGCAAAAGCACGCTACTTTACGCGCCCGCGAAATAATCGTGCCAACGACGTTCAGCAGTCAACATGGTTCCGCGTCCGCGCAACTTCTGTCATAAGGATCAGGCTGCTAGGACCTGAGAACACCGTGCGCGACTCGCTGCCATAGAGCTGCGAGCGACCTGGTCCGCGAGTTCCCGGATGAATAAGATGCTGGATACGTTTAGGAATCTTCCAACTTGGTCAAAGATTGCTTTTAGGAGATCGAGTTGCGGAGTATCGTTGAGAGCTAACTCGGTAAATGGAGTTCGAACACCTGTATCGAGCAAGTCTTTCCAAGAGTCAGGCTTTCATCGGGGACTCGTGACGTTCAGGATTTCCTGTCTCGCTCGGGAGTTTTGACCCTTTGCGTTATGGTTACGAGTGTGACTTGGAGTTTTCGCCGAATATGAGAATTATGTGGTATATATGTTCGTTGGAGGATCAGAATTTGGTGAAATTTGGAGAATTTTTGTTGATTTTATGGGGAATAAAATGGAGGTTATTTTTCAGAATTTAATCCTAGTGCAAAGGGTTAATGGAATTTTAATAAATTTTGTCATCCCTTTGATGATTAGGTTGAAATTATTATAGAGAGAGTAGTCTTGGGTGATTCGAAAGATGATGAGACGTTTAGGTTTGCTTACATGGAGGCACTTTGAGAAAGTTTTGGGCAATTTTTATTCATTATAATTATTAATTGTAATTCTATTAATTGTAAATTGAAGCCTGTTTGTATATTGATGATAGACACATTTGCAAATGTAACTCGTTGGATTTCTCGTTGATAATGAGAATTATGTAGGAATATGTGTTCGTTGGAGGATCAGAATTTGGTGAAATTTGGAGAATTTTTGTTGATTTTATGGGGAATAAAATGGAGGTTATTTTTCAGAATTTAATCCTATTGCAAAGGGTTAATGGAATTTTAATAAATTTTGTCATCCCTTTGATGATTATGTTGAAATTATTATAGAGAGAGTAGTCTTGGGTGATTCGAAACATGATGAGACGTTTAGGTTTGCTTACATGGAGGCACTTTGAGAAAGTTTTGGGCAATTTTTATTCATTATAATTATTAATTGTAATTCTATTAATTGTAAATTGAAGTCTGTTTGTATATTGATGATAGACACATTTGCAAATGTAACTCGTTGGATTTCTCGTTGATAATGAGAATTATGTAGGAATATGTGTTCGTTGGAGGATCAGAATTTGGAGAAATTTGGAGAATTTTTGTTGATTTTATGGGGAATAAAATGGAGGTTATTTTTCAGAATTTAATCCTAGTGCAAAGGGTTAATGGAATTCTGATAAATTTTGTTCCCCTTCGATGATTAGATTGAAATTATAGAGAGAGTAATTTTAGGTGATTCGAAAGATGATGGGATGTTTAGGTATGCTTATATAGTAGCACTTAGGGAAAGTTTGGGGAAATTTTTATAATTATAAATTAAAATTTGCTTGTATATTTATAATTTATAATTTATGTATGTTCTACAATTTTTGCATGATTTTGTGGAGAATAAAATGGAGGTTATTTTTCAGAATTAGTACTAAACCTATCACGACTTAGGCTTGAATTACTATTTTTAATCTCCTGGTTTAAAATTCCTTATTAGATGTTATCGCTTTGGACACTTGACTACGTGATTTGTCTTTTAATACAGGTGTAATCAATTCTTCGATATTTCTTCTTATTCCATTTTTTGAAGGATTTTTCTTCTCTTTTCCCTTTTTCATCTGCTGCTCTATTTAACTGGCCGTTGTAGGTTTAGCGTTAAATCATAATGCAAGGGGTTAATAGAATTCTGACAAATCCTTTTTCCCCTCAGTAATTGAATTTGAATAATACAAAGAATAATTTTTTAGTAGTATTTTAGAATAGTTTGGAAAATTTTTATGACCTTAAATTAAAGTCTGTTTCTATATCGATAATAGCAAAATATGCATTCGAGATTTCTGTTTAATTACGTTTAAGAATGTCGTCTGGAACGTTGAAAATTTTTACTCCTAAAATAACATAGGAATATTATAAATTCAAACATGTTGACTCGATTAATATTTATGATACACAAGCTAGAGGCACATTTAGAAACATCGATGAAGTTTGACACACTTAGCATTTTATTAATTGGTAAATTAGTAAGGGGATTTGTGAAGTTCTTTCGAAATAAAATATTCAAGTCTATTGATAAATTACTATCCAGAAAAGTGCTCTTCAAGTTTACCGAATTTTAGGCGACAAATAGGATAGAAAATATATTTTAGAATCCGTAATTTTTAAAGAAATCAAAATTTCCATCGAGATTTTATCGAGATGATCAATTTGAGGAAAGTATTCGGAGCATTGCTGACATTAAACATTCAAATCCGTTGATACATTTCCTCCCATAAAGCCTCCCATGAGGATTCACGAGATCTTAGAAGGAAATTTTTATTAACCCTTTGCATTCGACGATTTCTTGGCTGAAGAAGAGTAGGAATTAAAAAATGTTCTGCTATGAAGCTTTTCTAAATAAAAAATAAATAATAAGTAGTAATAGTAATATTTTAGTAAATAGTAAATGAGAAATCGTATAATAATTAACACGTAGAATTATTTCGTTTCGATATCTTCCATATCGTTACTTAAATTTGACATGTCAATTAATTCAGAATTTTTTCAAATCTTCGAAATTTTATCGAATGACAACTAAAGGGTACCTCTCGTGTGCAAAGGGTTAATATTTGGCAGAACTTTGACAACGTTTGCCTTCGAGGTGTCACAAGGTGGTTTCCACCGGTGTCGCGAAACATAAATCGATACAGGGTTGCTCGAATTATACGCGTGTTATGGGACAGGTGAAAAATTTCTCCCATTAAAGATCGAATACTTTTCGAAAATCGAATCACCCGTACTTTAATGTTTGCCATTGGATTAATACGCGACGTAGAATCAGTTGCCGCGAATTTCTGTGCAGAGTTAGGATTATTAATTTACTAGCAAGTAAAAATTAATGCAATAAACAAGCCCGTCCGCGGGAGATAACAGTTTCGTAATGAAATATTCGTTTCAACATACGCGTCGCGGCGATAACGGTAACTAGCACTCGTTTTTCAATTTGCCTCGAATTTATATTTTAAAAATCGCCTTTCGGCCGGTACCACACGTGAACACGTGTGCTAAATATCGATTATTCTTTCATGAATATTTCCCTGACGATTCACAGGTGTCATCAGCATTCACGGCTATGGGAAATACGTTCCCATTCGCGCAGCTTTTCCCGGATGGAAGGAAAGCTTTCATTGATAATTCGTCGCGAGTTGCAGAATTTTCGCGACCGTGCTGAAGGGGGGCACCTTTTCTAATTACGCAGCTGGCCCCCGCTGACCGCGGATACCTTCAAGTTTATGGGGTCACGTCGAAAGGAGGACTCGATGGAATTCATCGGCTCTCATTGGAATGTGGTAAAGGCCGGAATGAAGGTCGAATAAGTCTCTCAACCGGTTGTCGCAATCTCCAGCTGGTCATGTTTCCAGTCTAATGGAGTTAGTAAGTACATGCAAATCTTCGGCTGTATTTTAAAGTGGCGACAAATTTGAATAAAATCGTGCGAGGAATATCTCGCAAAGTAGAATAGATTGGAGTATCCTCTATCTTTTCCAGCTTTTAAGCAGCCATTATCACCCCGCGTACCTGGTAATAAAGCGATAAATTATGTTCACGCTGACTAGCGAGTATTAGAGATTATCCTAAACGTTCCGTTCAACAAATATCCGAAATTAATACTAGATTTACAGTATTAGTTTATAGTTGGGACGTGTCTTCTATACCTATTTGAACACGAACGGGATCAAATATTTTCTGTAAAAAGCCATATAATTATGCACTATTGACTTATAGAATGAGAAATAATGAGATATATATTTACATAAAATTTATAATATTCGTAGGGATTATTTTTGTGGGTAGAATAGACGATAATATACGAGATCCTTTTAACGAGTAACTCGCAAAATATATTTATACTAAATTATTAAAAATTATAAAATCGGTGCAGTCTTTCCAGAATTTTCTTCTCTCACTCACACACTCTTACTCATACATTAGGTTTACGCACGCTATCTGTATACCTATTTCTTCGGACACCTGTCAAATTTACAGGTAAAGGAAACCACGTGTCTTTTCTTTTTTCAACGATTAGTTTAATTTAAAAACCATTACAATATTAACAGTCTTAATATAAGTTGGGTTTCGTAAATCTAGTGTTAATAACTATTAAATTGACGTGTTCACTCTTTAATATTTATCAAACAATTGTTTTATTCTCGCACATTTTTCTAAATATTTTTGCTTCTAAGAATTATATTTATATCACACATTTGTGAGCATTGGTTTTACACGTGTGACTGCGAATGGGGTTCAATAAGTGAAACTCATTTGCGATGATATAAATATAATATATGCGAGTGCAGTCTAGTATGAATGATGTTTGAAAAAATGTTTAGAAGAATGTGCCAGAATAAAACAGTTACGTGAGAATCGTCAAAGAGGAAACATCGGTATGTAACGGTTAATAAGAGTGTGTGTGTGTGAGAGAGAGAGAGAGAGAAGAATTTTCTAAAAAGTGTCAATCATTTTTTTTGTTTAAAATAGTTTATTGCGAGTTTTCATTATTTCAATATTTTTATCTAAATATCCTAATATGTTAACTGTTAAAAAATCGTAGCAGATATTGGTGTCCATTTCTATCCACAATATTGTATAATTATAGGACAAATGAATTTCATTCGTTCAACTTCATTTACAC